TCGTCATACCCGCCATCCCCATCAACCCGCAGAGTCGAAATTCCAGAGCCCCTCACTATTGTTTCCCGACAATTGCACCAAAGCAGTAATATGCATTCCGAAGCCAAAAACCACTAAGCCAGTTGTCAAATATTTTCAGTTTTTCTGTGTTTTCCGTTTGCTGTACCTTATACTATCCTATTGACGTACTATTATTCTAGTGGTACGACATCAATTGTAAACTAACTTAGTAATAAGATCCATACCCAATAGCGCTACAACGTCGATTCCGCGGATCTACCCATACTCCTAGAGCGACCGAGGGCCAGCCTACGTCCAGACCCACGTTCAGCGACAATTGCGACTCGATATCAGGCCGTAGGCCAGCCAGGTTGAAATTAATTAGTCATGACGAGGCCGCATCGCAATCGTACTAATATTTCATTTGCACACATACATATTTTCTAGCGACCTGCCTTCTCCTTTGCATTCATGTAATCAATATCTCCTGTATGAACCACGCAGACTTTCTCCGATGTCGCTATCAGGCGAGCATTGGCAAGCCCACTCAATTATTTATAATTTAATATATCCACGACACGCATTTCAATCTCCACCAGAGCCCCTCCTAGTGTTAATAGCCCTTCAGAAAACATGCACATGACTCCTCCTATTAACAGTAAATTTTGTATGGGCATGAATGGTGTGCTCCACATAAGTCAAATATGCGAATTAATCCTTATTGGACTGTGCGTACTTCGTTACCGTATATTACCTTTACGGCGTACTTACCAGGATAAGTACGCGGTAAAGGTAATATACTGTACAACACCCTGGCAGAGGGGGCTCAATTAGAAATAGAAGACCCTAACATAGAACGTCATCAGCATATATCGTTGTTGTGCTTCTACAAGTCGATAAATAATCGGCGGTACTACAGTCCATGTAAACCGTCCATGTATTGTCGATATATCGGTCTATGTATTGTCCAAATACTAAGAATGTGGGTGGCCCATTGATAACGAAAGAAGATTCGACAAATAACACAAGAACAAGACCTCCTTGGGAGCAAATAGCATAAACGCCACAAAAATCTGCAACTAAAACACTGCTACATGTACCCATGCGAGATAATATTCGCACTAATCTTAAAGCTGACTGCATATACTCGATATACCGTAAAATTCGGATTAAATGCAACGCTCGGATTGAATGCAACATTCGTAAAAACTCGATCACTATGACAAAAAAGACAAACATGTAGGGATGACACCCGTCTAAAGACAGAACATGTTTTAACGATGGTTAAGCATTCTCTACTATTGGAGCCTCATCAAAACTATCAGACACTCGGAATCGTCCGAGCTCATCGCGTGGTCCAGTGGGGACGATGCCCGCCTTGACGAAACCGCGAACGATCGTTTGCTCAGTTACCTGGTCCCACGCTTCAGCAACACAAACGAGACAGCAGTGCTTGCTTCTCCGTGGTCGAAACCGGAAAGGGATGATCCTATTTGTGTTTCGTGGCATGGTAGGAAACCACGAAATGAAGGACGGATGCCATTTAAAGCAGCAGAGGCTTCTTTCCATCAATTGTTTTTACGGACGTAAAAAGGCTTTTTCGTTTCACTTGAAATGTAGTTTTTACGATGATTGCATTCAATCCGAAGTTTACGGTACTCTCGGCTTGGTGCGTTCGACTCACTCCTTCAATAACGCAGCCGCCAGCTTTGTTGACAGATGCTAACGCGAGGCAACGAATGGGCGATTTAGCCTTAAGATCTACTGGTAATGGCTTAGCTACGCCAAACTTGAATGGTGAGTTGTATGGTGAAGCCAATGAGCGTAAGTTGGCATGGAATTTTTACCCTCGAGTATACGCGGGAAGATTCTGCGGATCTCGAGAAGTGAGGGCCAGATTGGGACGATCTATATGTGGACAATCATAATGAAGGCCTGTGAAAGTTGGATCAAGACAGATCCTGCCTCGACATGCTCTGGGTGACCAGGATTGCCAGGAGCTGGAGTGTATGTGTCATGATCTGGAGAGATCTACTGTGATTTGGCCATAAGATGAGGACTATGTTGCAGATCAATCAAGATCCGGTATGAAGGACAGCTGGGCGACGAAGATCAACAAGGAAGAGCAGGTAAATAGCTAAAGATAAATGACATAGTGGCTGTGAAGGTAGACAGTTGATGCATAGGACCTAACTATAAATTAGACTCGAATTTGCATTGTGTTACGCAAAT